ATATCATCACAAAGACCTAAGGTGTGGTGCATCATTTTTTTGTGCGCCACGCAAAAGTTATTTGTTTAGAGTTGTTAGAACGACATGCTGCAGATGTGACTTGCCCATGGTTATTTTGGCTACACTTTGCCCTTGCAGACTTCGACCCAAGTGAGGGAGCCAAGCCGTGGATCAAGAGGAAATTTCAAAATGTGAAGAAGGAAAATGGATGACGATTGTATGGTTTCCATTAGGTATTGTGGAAAAACGGCATGTGGGGGTGCAACATGCCTGCTGCTGCTGGCGAACGCCTGCGAAACACCTCCCGGCAGTAAAACAGCATGGCCCTAAAGGACGAACCGATGCCAAAATCTCGTTTTTCGGGGCCGGAACGTCCCTTCTGAAATCCTACAAAAATATCATTTTTCCACCTTTCCCCCCCCTTCCTTCCCCTTCCTTCCACCTTATTTCCACCTTGTTAAGAGCTGTTAAAAGCTGCTGGCTGGCTGCTAGCTGCTGCACTGCTCCGGCTGCTCTTACTGCTGCTGCTGGCGAACGCCTGCGAAACACCTCCCGGCAGTAAAACAGCATGGCCCTAAAGGACGAACCGATGCCAAAATCTACGTTTTTCGGAACCGGAACGTCCCTTCTGAAATCCTACAAAAATATCATTTGTCCACCTTATTTCCACCTTGTTAAGAGCTGTTAAAAGCTGCTGGCTGCTGCTGGCTGGCTGCTAGCTGCTGCACGGCTGCCGCTGCTCTTAGCCTGCTAAACACTTCCCGGCAGTAAAACTCCCTTCTGAAAGCCTACAAATCCTAGAAAACTAGCGTTTTTCCACCTTATTTCCACCTTGTTACAAGCTGTCAAAAGCTGCTGGCTGGCTGCTATATAGCTGGCTGCTTTTACTGCTGCTGCTGGCGAACGCTTGCGAAACACTTCCCGGCAGTAAAACAGCATGGCCCCAAAGGACGAACTGATGCCAAAATCTACGTTTTTCGAGGCCGGAACGTCCCTTCTGAAATCCTACAAGAATATCAGATTCCATCTTATTTCAACCTTGTTACAAGCTGTTAAAAGCTGCTGGCTGCTGCTGGCTGGCTGCTAGCTGCTGCACTGCCAGCTGCGGCTGCTCTTACTGCTGCTGCTGGCGAACGCTTGCGAAACACCTCCCGGCAGTAAAACAGCATGGCCCTAAAGGACGAACCGATGCCAAAATCTACGTTTTTCGGGGCCGGAACGTGTATTCCACCTTGTTAAGAGCTGTTACAAGCTGCTGGCTGCTGCTGGCTGGCTGCTAGCTGCTGCACGGCTGCCGCTGCTCTTAGCCTGTTAAACACCTCCCGGCAGTAAAACTCCCTTCTGAAATCTTACAAATCCTACCAAAATATCATTTTTCCACCTTATTTCCACCTTGTTAAGAGCTGTTAAAAGCTGCTGGCTGGCTGCTAGCCGCTGCACTGCTGCCGCTGCTCTTACTGCTACTGCTGGCGAACGCCTGCGAAACACCTCCCGGCAGTAAAACAGCATGGCCCTAAAGGACGAACCGGTGCCAAAACCTACGTTTTTCGAGGCCGGAACGTCCCTTCTGAAATCCTACAAAAATATCATTTTTCCACTTTATTTCCACCTTGTTACAAGCTGTCAAAAGCTGCTGGCTGCTGGCTGGCTGCTAGCTGCTGCGCTGCTGCGGCTGCTCTTACTGCTGCTGCTGGCGAATGCCTGCAAAACACCTCCCGGCAGTAAAACAGCATGGCCCTAAAGGACGAACCGATGCCAAAATCTACGTTTTTCGGGGCCGGAACGTCCCTTCTGAAATCCTACAAAAATATCATTTTTCCACCTTATTTCCACCTTGTTAAGAACTGTTAAAAGCTGTTGGCTGCTGCTGGCTGGCTGCTAGCTGCTGCACGGCTGCCGCTGCTCTTAGCCTGCTAAACACTTCCCGGCAGTAAAACTCCCTTCTGAAATCCTACAAATCCTACAAAACTAGCGTTTTTCCACCTTATTTCCACCTTGTTACAAGCTGTTACAAGCTGCTGGCTGGCTGCTAGCTGGCTGCTTTTACTGCTGCTGCTGGCGAACGCTTGCGAAACACCTCCCGGCAGTAAAACAGCATGGCCCTAAAGGACGAACTGATGCCAAAATCTACGTTTTTCGAGGCCGGAACGTCCCTTCTGAAATCCTACAAAAAGATCAGATTCCATCTTATTTCCACCTTGTTAAGCGCTGTTACAAGCTGCTGGCTGCTGCTGGCTGGCGGCTAGCTGCTGCACGGCTGCCGCTGCTCTTAGCCTGTTAAACACCTCCCGGCAGTAAAACTCCCTTCTGAAATCTTACAAATCCTACCAAAATATCATTTTTCCACCTTATTTCCACCTCGTTAAGAGCTGTTAAAAGCTGCTGGCTGGCTGCTAGCCGCTGCACTGCTGCCGCTGCTCTTACTGCTACTGCTGGCGAACGCCTGCGAAACACCTCCCGGCAGTAAAACAGCATGGCCCTAAAGGACGAACCGATGCCAAAATCTACGTTTTTCGAGGCCGGAACGTCCCTTCTGAAATCCTACCAAAATATCATTTTTCCACCTTATTTCCACCTTGTTACAAGCTGTTAAAAGCTGCTGGCTGCTGCTGGCTGGCTGCTAGCTGCTGCACTGCTGCGGCTGCTCTTACTGCTGCTCCTGGCGAACGCCTGCGAAACACCTCCCGGCAGTAAAACAGCATGGCCCTAAAGGACGAACCGATGCCAAAATCGACGTTTTTCGAGGCCGGAACGTCCCTTCTGAAATCCTACAAAAATATCATTTTTCCACCTTATTTCCACCTTGTTAAGAGCTGTTAAAAGCTGCTGGCTGCTGCGGGCTGGCTGCTGGCTGCTGCTGGCTGGCTGCTAGCTGCTGCACTGCTGCGGCTGCTCTTACTGCTGCTGCTGGCGAACGCCTGCGAAACACCTCCCGGCAGTAAAACAGCATGGCCCTAAAGGACGAACCGATGCCAAAATCGACGTTTTTCGAGGCCGGAACGTCCCTTCTGAAATCCTACAAAAATCATTTTTCCACGTTATATTTCCACCTTGTTAAGAACTGTTAAAAGCTGCTGGCTGCTGCTGGCTGGCTGCTAGCTGCTGCACGGCTGCCGCTGCTCTTAGCCTGCTAAACACTTCCCGGCAGTAAAACTCCCTTCTGAAATCCTACAAATCCTAGAAAACTAGCGTTTTTCCACCTTATTTCCACCTTGTTACAAGCTGTTACAAGCTGCTGGCTGGCTGCTAGCTGGCTGCTTTTACTGCTGCTGCTGGCGAACGCTTGCGAAACACCTCCCGGCAGTAAAACAGCATGGCCTTAAAGGACGAACTGATGCCAAAATCTACGTTTTTCGAGGCCGGAACGTCCCTTCTGAAATCCTACAAAAAGATCTCAGATTCCATCTTATTTCCACCTTGTTAAGAGCTGTTACAAGCTGCTGGCTGCTGCTGGCTGGCGGCTAGCTGCTGCACGGCTGCCGCTGCTCTTAGCCTGTTAAACACCTCCCGGCAGTAAAACTCCCTTCTGAAATCTTACAAATCCTACCAAAATATCATTTTTCCACCTTATTTCCACCTCGTTAAGAGCTGTTAAAAGCTGCTGGCTGGCTGCTAGCCGCTGCACTGCTGCCGCTGCTCTTACTGCTACTGCTGGCGAACGCCTGCGGCATGGCCCTAAAGGACGAACCGATGCCAAAATCTACGTTTTTCGAGGCCGGAACGTCCCTTCTGAAATCCTACAAAAATATCATTTTTCCACTTTATTTCCACCTTGTTACAAGCTGTCAAAAGCTGCTGGCTGCTGGCTGGCTGCTAGCTGCTGCACTGCTGCGGCTGCTCTTACTGCTGCTGCGGGCGAACGCCTGCAAAACACCTCCCGGCAGTAAAACAGCATGGCCTAAAGGACGAACCGATGCCAAAATCTACGTTTTTCGGGGCCGGAATGTCCCTTCTGAAATCCTACAAAAATATCATTTTTCCACCTTATTTCCACCTTGTTAAGAGCTGTTAAAAGCTGCTGGCTGCTGGCTGGCTGCTAGCTGGCTGCTAGCTGCTGCACTGCTCTTACTGCTGCTGCTGGCGAACGCCTCCGAAACACCTCCCGGCAGTAAAACAGCATGGCCCTAAAGGACGAACCGATGCCAAAATCGACGTTTTTCGAGGCCGGAACGTCCCTTCTGAAATCCTACAAAAATCATTTTTCCAGCTTATTTCCACCTTGTTAAGAGCTTTTAAAAGTTGCTGGCTGCTGCTGGTGGCTGGCTGCTAGCTGCTGAGAGAAAATGAGCTATTTTAGCTACTTTTTCCTCATGGGAAAACACCATGGCAGAGAAGGACGGACAAGCATCAAAATTGCGACCAAAAACTCCCTAATGTAACTTCTGAAACCCATAGAAAAGGATTATTTTAGCTACTTTTTCCTCCTAATTGCGACTAAAAACTCCCTAATGTAACTTCTGAAACCCATAGAAAAGGATGATTTTAGCTACTTTTTCCTCTTGCTGCTGCTGCTGCTGCTCCTGCTCTTGCTACTCCTTCTGTTCAAAAGACAGCCCCCGGATGGGAAAACACCATGGCAGTGAAGGACGGAAAAGCATCAAAATTGCAACCAAAAATTCCCTAATGTAACTTCTGAAACCCATAGAAAAGGATTATTTTGCAACCAAAAATTCCCTAATGTAACTTCTGAAACCCATAGAAAAGGATTATTTTAGCTACTTTTTCCTCCTGCTGCTGCTGCTGCTGCCGCTGCTGGTGCTGTCGTCCGCTGCTGCTGCTGCTGCTGCCGCTGCTGCTGCTGCTGCTGCTGGTGCTGCTGCTGCTGCTACTGCTGCTGCTGCTGCTGCCGCTGCTGCTGCTGCTGCTACTGCTGCTGCTGCTGCTCCTGCTGCTGCTGCTGCTGCTGCGGTAGTAGTCCGAAACAAGAGTCAAAAGTATTATTCCCTGGCGCGCTCCCCCTTGCGTCTGCCGGGGTCGGCGGATATTATTGATCCAAGCCAATGAAGATCACACATTTGCCAGGCTACTTTGTTCAGAGGCAATCCTTGAAGGTCGTCTTCCACCTCCTGGTCGGACCCCAAGAGTTTGGTACAAAGTTACAAAGGAAGATGGTGGGATGTCCATAAAAACTGCATTCCCGAACAACAGCATGCAAAGAATGCTTCGACTCAGAAACGTACTTTCAAGATCTTTCAAGTTTATTGCAGATGGCTGATGCTACAGCCTTTTGCACAGGACGCGGGCCTTTGTGAGCTTATGCCGGCAGACAGAGAGCTATGGCGGCTGCTAGCACAGGCTGGATGGTCAAACTGCCAGACAGCCACCAGGGCCACTCACTTTCATTTGATTCATTCACAGTCAATGTCTCTAACTCCCTTCATCTGTGACCCAAGTTATACCACTTCTACCCGCTCTTGTTTTACATCTCATCCAGGAAGGAGGGGTCCAAAGACTGCCTAGATGATTGGTAACTTACCGGGCTTCAGAAACCCCGGACCTTCGGTGATGGGACCTGGAATCAAACCACCAACACTTCATCAGAATTATCAGTTGCATGGTGCAATAGCATTCTTTCATAATCTACAATCCATTGATATCCAATGATATCCACTGTCTCTCAGAGCTGCCTATGGCATGTCTTTGACTGAGAATCGATCGCCAGCGAGCGATGCAAAGCTTGCAGGCGAAGCGATCAGACTATGAGCTTTGCATCGTCCTCACGAAGGCCTGCGTGCTCCGTGCGCTTTGTGGCTGCGGAAACTTTAAAGGGCCACAGTCGCAAGGGTTGTCTCCCAGTATTCGGCTGATGGTCAACAAAGGATATATATATATGTATAAATAAGACATATTGATACACATACACATATACATAACCATATACATATACATAACCATGTCCTTGTCAGTTGCCATGTCAATAACATGTTTGACTGAAATCAGCCGGTCATGTGACTGTTTAATTTTGGATCAAGCAGTGGGTGTCTCATGTCTCACCTGACCTTCTCAGCAGTGATGGCTGCTGGGATTGGGTTGCGTGAGACTCGCCACTGCAGCAAAGAGGCCTTCGAAGTTCCCTGGGGAAAGGCCCTAGTGGAGTGCCTGGGCGATGCTGGTGGGCCCCAGGGGTGTGGAGTCTGTAATTTCTTGACCCGCTACAAGCCCGACGAGGAGGGGCGCTCATGAAGATCGAATGTGGCGGTGTCGGATGCTTACTATGAACATTGGATCTTGGAGCAAGGTGGATCAGGCAAGCTGCATCACTTCTGTCGTCATGGGCTGAGGACATGCCAGCGGAAAGTTGGACAAGATCAACTGGTCCATGTGCAGAAATGTGCATACATAACGGAGGAGGATGTAGAGGCATGCCTCAAGCAATGGAAAGCCCGGAGGCTGGACACGACAGTGCCAGGCAGAAAGAGGCGTGACCTGGAGCCAGCCCGTTCGGATAGGGGCAGCCATGATGACAGCTTGCAGGCCACGCCCACGTCCAAGGCTTCACCCAACACCCCTGGTGACAGCCAGGGAAGAGATCGAAGGCGACGAGGAGACGCTGAGGAGAGCAGTCAGGAAGATCGTGATGTCGGTAGGTCCAATGCTTGTCCACGGCGTTCGACAAGAAGATCTAGGAGAAGCAGCCAAACTGAGGAGGAGGGGTCACCCAGTCCTCACCGGTGTAGGCCGGAGGAGGCCAGAGGGTCTGCGCAAGAAGAAGGACAAAAGATCTGAGAAGTCCAACCCTCTGGATTCAGTGTTGGATGTTGAAGACTGGGATCCTATGAAGAGTGATCGACGTCTAGAGGAGCTACGAAAGTCGCTGGAGGAGAAGAAGCATCAGCGAGAGGAGGCCACAAGGAGGCGGCCAGTGCAGTGCTGGCGAGAAGGGTGCAAGATGGCGCAGAAGCTTCCAAAAAGAGGAAGGATAAGGGGCAAGACAAGGTGGTTCAGGTCTTGAAGACACTAGTGGGCAAAAAGAAGCACAATGACTCATCGTCGTCAGGCGGAGATAGTGAGGAGGAGGATGAGATCTTCAGTGGCAGCTGCAAGGAGAGTGACCTGTTGAGCCGGCAAAGAAAGCTTCGTAAGCTTTCCGCGGAGAAACCTGGTGCCTTCCTACAGAACAGTTGGGTACGCTGTTCGGTGACCACATGGGCTCAGGTTCCAGTGAGCAGGCTTTGCAGCCGGGAGCAGTGAGGTATCTGCTCTCCACAGCGCTGCCCCTCATGGATGTCAAGCGCCTTGGTGAGGAACGCCTGCGTGAGATGAGGACACTGGCTGGAGCGTTAGTGGTCAGTGGGAAGATCTCAATGACAGGAGATCTTTTGATGCAGCGCTTAAGAGCATATTGATGGTGGTGCGGGATGGGACGTCGGCGGCAGCTTGATCAGAGGAGTCAAACTATGCGAGGAGCTTGGCAGTGAAGGCTGCCAAGAGTGAAGGATTAGGGCTATGGACACGGCGGGGGGGAGGCCTTGAGGCCTTTTCCTCAACGCCACCCCAAAGCAGCAGAGGATGTCAAGGCCGAGCCAGTGGAGAAGAAGGAGACAAGGAAGCCAGTGCTGAGAGATCGGCGATCACCAAGGAGGAGCAGGAGTCCTATCAAGAGGAGCGTGAAGTTCAAAGCGCCCTTGGAGAAGGAGATTCCAGGCACGGGATTGGCCGGAGCGGACTCAGGCCTGATGAGGATGGCTCAGGCCCGGGAAGCTATGCCCAGATTGGAGAACGAATCCAGGGCAAACTGGAAGAAGCGGGTGTTCGACTTCAAACGAGAGGAGGAGGCAAAGCATGGGCGCAGGGAAGGGCCATCCCAAGGGCCCCAGAAGTAGAAGCCCCTGTGGAGGCAGGGGGATCATCTGAGCCAAGTCTGTTCTTCCGCAGTGATGGCTGGGGTGCGGTCGGATGACTCAGCGTGTTCTTCAGTGGAGGCTGAATCTGCGGGCAGTGATTTCGGCTCAAACGCAGGTTGTGTAGCCGGGACGAAGTTTCCTGGTGCAAACCGCAGCGTAGAACAAGTCCTTGCGGGTGTCAATGAAGTCCTGCAAGGATCTAGCGAGCCACCCTTTCGTTTCCATGAATCAGTGAAAAAATTGAGTTGCAGTGTGGATTCATCAGGGCTTTTCATGTTTCTGCTGTTTCAAAGATGTCTTTTCAGATGCTTTGTGGTAAGGTGGCCAGATTACAGCTGTCAGTTTTTCAGCCTGGCGTTTCAATAATGCAGCTCCTACTTTGTAGTCCACGAGATGGATTCAATGTTTGTTGTTGGTTGACCGGTCAAATGAACGCGTCCTCCAAACCACCTTCTGGGTCAGAGGCATCTTACCTTGCCTCTGCCCCCAGCAGGAGCGGTTTTGAGGTTGATAGCACAGGCCACGGTGGAGGTTGATGGCATTTTGCGGACGATTGCTTGTGCAGTGCCTGGTGACAAAAAGAAAGGGCGTCAACAGAGGAAGCGGTTGGTCTGTGAAGGGACAAAACAGCTTTGGAGATGTTTGTGCGTGATTGTCGATTGTGCTCAATGGTTTAAACACGGGCTGGCATTTTCAATGTAGCCCAAAAGCAAAGGTTTCAGAATCTCAAAGGGTTGCCATGGAGGTGGTGAACCGCTGGGTTGAAAGATTTTGCGCGCAGCCAGTTGAAGTTGTGCAGCCCCCCAACTTCCCTGAGCTCGTCAGAAATCGACAGTTAGATGAAGAGTTAGCCACTGCCTTGCCCCTCAGGTTGGAGGAGCTTCTGCCTGGGCTACCTCACCTAGGCGTGGCCGACTCACTCAGTGCAGTGGAGGCTGCAACTGGGGAGGTAAGGGAGTGGGTCGAAAATCCTTGGCTAACCTAAGGGCCAGTGAAGGCTCCCAGGCCAGGATAAATGCAACCTGACCTGAGTGGTACCGCATCTGCCAGGAGCTGTTTAAGCGGGGTATAATTGAACCCATTCCTTTACACTCGGTAATGCGGAGTGGCGCCCTGTACTCAACAGAGCCTTCGCTGTGGAGAAGCGGGGGCAGGCTGGTGCAGGCCAGTGTAGAGTGACCCGTTTAATCATGATTTTCATGCCCAAAAGTTATGCGTGCGGATTTGAACACGCTGGCAGGATCCACAGCATGGTGCCAACTGGTGCTGAAGGAGGAGGGGGAGGTCCTTTTATGGGGCGGAGACGATCAAAAAGGTGCCTTTTACACGTGGGAACTTCCTGCAAGCTGGCGGCCATTCATGACGTTTGCCTGGCCGGTGCCTGGCAGATTGGTGGGCTCAGACAAGGATTGGGAGTACGTGGCATCCCGTGTCATACCTATATGGGCTGGATCCAAGCTGTGAGCCTTTTCCAGCACCTGCACCGGCAACTGGGCATGGCACTGGAGCCGCGGGGTGCTGGACAATGGATGAGTTTGTGCAGTTTGATTTAGATGATTTTGACGCCCTGAAATTGTTCCCAGTGATGGCTGGTAGACAATGCAAGGGCAACTCAGTGAGACCCATGCGAAGCAGAGGCGGGCCTACGAACGCTGGGGCGTGGACATTTCTGCTGACAATGCACACCAGCATGAGCCTAAGGTCATCCGTATGGGCGCTGAGGTGGATGGGCACCAGGGCACTGTGGCAGCCCCACATCAAAAGCGCATGGAGGTGGCTTACTTCGCTTTGTGGTCACTCGGGTTGAGATGCCCGCCCATTAAGATCTTGCTGATGGTTTTGGGGCGATTTGCGTGGTGCTTTGAGTTTAGGCGCCCGCTGATGGCGGGATTTGGCCACGCGGAGAAATTCATGTGAGGAGACCATGGAGTCCTCAGGCAATCCAAGAACTCCTCCGGGCCATTCTGGTGCTGCCGCTGGCAGGGACGGATTTGCGAGCACAGGTAAGCAATGTCGTCACCTGCTCTGATGCCAGCGAAGTTGGAAGGGGTCTGTGTGCATCAGGTGCCTTGATCCCCTGAAGGCCACGAGGTCCTTAGGCAGCTGCAGAGTGAGGCTTGTCTCGTTGTGACAGCGACCGACTGCAAGGTGCATTACCGACAAGCAACTTTGAGGGAGCCCGCGTGGTCGTAGTGTCATTATTCGATGGCATCTCAGCAGTTAGGTGCGGGTTATGTTGCCTCAGGTGTCAGGTGGTTGCGTTTGCTTCATCAGAAGTAGACAAAGCTTGCAAGCGGCTAGCGAGGCACCGATGGCCAGGAGTCATAGAATGAGGCAATATCAGCGAAATATTTTTGGAAATGCTTGAGACGTTCGCTGCAAGCATTGGTCCCTCCGTTGACTTGGTGGTGGCAGCTGGTGGTAGTCCATGTCAAGATTTGTTTTCCCTGTTGGCAGACAAGGCAGGGTTGCAAGGGATGCGAAGCAAGCTCTTCGTTGAGATGCCCAGGATCTTTGAGGCGCTCAAGCAGGTCTTCAGGTGTCTAGTGTATCGGTTTGTTGAGAATGTGTTCTCAATGACTGCAGAAGATAGAGATAAGTTCTCCACTACGCTGGGCATTGAGCCGATCCTGCTTGATAGTGCTCACTTCTCACCCTGCAAGCGCTCACGACTCTTTTGGGTTGATTCGCCTGTGGATCCTGGCTGGGGCGAATCACTCCATGCTCACCACGGCTACAAGGAATGGATAGGGAAGGCAACTGCAATGACCGGCAAGTGGTGGCTTGACCCCTTTTGCAGCAGGGCTTCGAATGATCCACTGCCAACCTTTACCAGGGCTCTTCTGCGAAAAACACCACCCCGTGAGCCAGCGGGGGTCCAATCAGCGTCAGCTGGAGCAATTGAAAGATGGAAAGCAGATCATTTCAGGTTCCAAGTTTACTAACACGAGCAAAAGCATATCATCCAGAAACCAGATGGAAGCTTCAGGTTGCCGTCTTTGATGCAGCGGGAACGTGCCATGGGATTTTCCAAGGGCTGTGTCGAATGCTTTGAGCCCTAAACTAACGATGGAGGAGGCGTGCAACTTGGGTTGCTGCATGATGGGTAACTCTTTTCATGTCTATGCCATCACACTGCTGCTGGATGAGCTGCTCCATGACGCTGATACCACCTATGAGCCTCGGTGTCTTGAGCGCATTTTTGTGACTGATGACAGTGCACCCCAAGGTTGGTGTAGCAAGCCCAAGTTCGACCCCACCAGCCAGCCTGATGATGCGCCCCGCATGTTGGTTCAAGAGTTCCTGCGGCAAGCAGACAGGGGTGGTACAGATGTGAAGTTGGATGTAGGGATCCCCTTTAGACGCAAGGCGTGGCCGAGATCTGGGTTGCGTTCTAGGTTGTTTCACTGGAAGATCATACAAGGGTCATATCAAACCTTTTAGAGCTTCAAGCTGTGGTCAATTCGCTACAATGGCGCCTGCGGTCGTTGCCGAACTTTAAGAAGCGGGTCCTGCACTTGGTGGAGAGCCAGGTCGTTGCGTCCATTATCACCAAGGGTCGCGCGAGCAGCCACCGCCTGAGAAAGGCCGTGGACAAGTTGGCTAGCCTGTGCATTGCAGGTGGTATCCAATTCGCAGTCGGCTACATTTCCACAGAGGACAACCCAGCTGATATCCCTTCTCGATGGGGAAGCCGAGAAAGGATCAGGTCGAAGAGCATCGGAAGGCGAGGAAAAGCAAGGTGCTGGTCTGACTCTCAATGAGAAAGTTGTGAGCCCAGGTCTGCATGAGCGCTACGCAATAGCTGCAAGTCGCATCCTTCGGTTTTGGCGTGAGTGCCAGTCGTCGCCCTCTGCGTGAGAAGATATGGATGTCGGAACATCACAATGGCTGGAACATATCTTTGCTGAGGGCTATCCAAAAGGTTATGGATCAGATGGGGTCGCTGCACTACAGCATTTCCTTCCTGAAGTGGCTGGTAAACCTCGTCACAGCTGGCGACTCTTGAAGTCATGGCAAAAGATGGGGCCACCAGGGAGAGTTCTGCCCATCAGCCCACTTATGGTGATGGCCATAAGTGCAGATGGGATGGCCGTGCTGTGCGGCTGCATTCCTGTTGGCTTTTGACACCATGCTACGACCTGGAGAACTTTATCAGCTTAGAAAGCACGATATCACGTGGGCAGGCAGAAAGGCTGTGGTATCGTCGTATCCCTGAAGAGCACTCAATCAGGGCAGCGCGTGGCAAATGCTTGGCTTGCAGTGGCATTAGCTTCGAAAAAAACCGACAGACCTCTTGCTCCACTGTAAACCTGATGCTCTCCGCAATGTGTTGTTTGCGCCGCTCGCTTTCCTGCAAGTGCAGGGGTACTTCTCTGTGTACTCCTTTCGGCGCCACCTGGCACTTCTTGACAGAAGGTAGCATGGAGCAAACCCTGCTGTGGGGCCGGTGGGTTTCCTCTTCCACCGCTCGCATCTACTTGCAAGACGCCGCTGCAGCCTTGAGCCGCCTGTCCATAACCGAAGAGCGGAAAAACTACATGAAACAATTAACCCAAGTGCTATCGACCATTGGCCAGGAAGGTGCCCGTGGAAGGTTGTTTCCTTTTGTTGTTGCCAGCTACCAGGCTGACCCCTTTTTTCGGGCGTGGCCAGGGGGTAAGGTCAGAAACCTGGTGTGGCTAGTGACTTGGTACAGGGAAAACATGTTCTTGTACCTGCTTTTGTGATTGTGGCAAAGCCACACGTATGAAAACCTCTGGCGGTGGTGGCAAACAAGCGGCTTGACATGTTCTTATGACTTGTCAGTTGCCACGTCAATAGCATGTTTGACTGAAATCAACCGGTAATGTGAGTGTTTAGTTTTGGATCCCCAACCCTCCCTCCGCGGATTCAGTTCCGGTGGTGAAAACCTGTGGTGGTGAACGAAAACAAGCGGCTTGACATAACCATATACATGTGCATATACATTGACAAACATACATGCACATGTACACTTGCAAACTATATGACTTCACTAATCAATTGGGCGGATGAAACAGCTTTCAGAAGGACCGTTGACAAAGCGCGCAAAATACTGGTCCTTTTGTTCAATTATTCCAGGATGGTGCGCCAAACGGGTTCCAGCAACACTTACTGCAACAGAAGAGAAGCAACGCAGAATTCGATGTTTGGCAAGTTTGGCCATTGTGAAGAGAGGCTGACAACAGTGTACCTTCGCAGCCTGAACCTCAAGACGTCAGATCTCAACGCGAGATTCTGCAGGATCTCCAATTTCGATCGCCAAGGCTTGAACGATTTGCCAACATTGTTCGAGAAGCGTTGCGGCGGGAAGGCTCCGCTGCGACCTCAGTGCGTTTTGCAATCATGGACTAAGTGTCACGACTCAAGCACACTGCAGGCCACTTTGGTCGCTGATGTCTGTTGGCATGGACTACTTGGAACCAATAGAATCAAAATCCATTCGACAGATTATACGCTGCAATTGGAACTGGAGCCTTGTCTTGATAGCAATGCTTAGACTTTCCTCGGCCGAATGAAGATGACTCGACTTGCACTGCTGCAAGGACTTGGCAGTTCGAGCAAAAATTTTTGCTTGCAGCGCTGTGTGGGACGCCAAGAGAAAGAGTTTTGAGGTTGTATTATGGATCTTTGGAAGATCTGCAAGCTCTCTCTCTCTCTGTCTCTGTCTCTGTCTGTGTCTCTGTCTCTGTCTCTGTCTCTGTGACTTGCGTATTCTGCACTTGATCTCACAAGGAGCAAATTGGGCAAAGACACATTGTGGCGCAAAATCTGGTCTGACCTTCGCTTAGTTAATCTGAAATTGCAAAGCATTGGCATGAGGCAACAGAGTTGGGGTTTCTGCTCCATGGAATGTGGCGTTTTATATACTGCTGGTGCAAGGCCGTGGGTGGTGAAGCATCCACCATTGAAGACCTTGGTGAGGGCCCAGACAACGCTGAAAGATATCGTAAGACGGTGTGCTCCCTAGCTGATGTGGTTGAAACTTGATCCTGCAGCAGCAGATGTTGGTTCATGCTTTGCGCTTTGGCAGGAGTTTGGCTGGGATGAGCCTGGAGTGTCAAAAAGCTGATGCAAAAGTTCATCACAGCAGCGAGCATTTGATCTCCACCAAGAAAAGCAGCTGCCAAACGGGAACAGTCTATGTCTATGTCGCACTCAGAGATGGCTGCAAGTATAGTGAAACGCCTGGCGAACCTGCCGCCAAGACACTTGATCAGAGACAGGTTCGTATATCAACTGTTTACTTCTAAAATTACACCAGCATAGACCCCAAACAGCAACAACGCATGTTTCCACCAAGATCATGTGCAATTCAAAATTCATGGAACTGTCCGGCACACTCCTGTCTTCTGTTTTACTCCTTCATTACTTCAACCGTACAAATACGAGGCAATAAAAGAACAAAAAAGGGAGAAGAAGGGAGACAAGCACCGGAACCCCAGCCCGAAGCAGGAGGCACCAGGAAATCCATGATGGAACAGAACTCCTTTCCTGAGGAAAGAAAGAAGAGAGAAGAAGGGAGACAAGCACCGGAACCCAGCCGGAACCAAGACGAACCAGCAAATCATGATGGAACAGAACCCCTTTCCTGAGGAAAGAAAGGAGAGAGAAGAAGGGAGACAAGCCGGAACCCCAGCCGGAACCAAGAGGAACCAGAAAATCCATGATGAAACAAAACACCTTTTCCTGAGAAAAGAAAGAAGAGAGAAGAAGGGAGACAAGCACCGGAACCCCAGCCGGAACAAAGACGAACCAGCAAATCATGATGGAACAGATACCCTTTCCTGAGGAAAGAAAGGAGAGAGAAGAAGGGAGACAAGCACCGGAACCAAAGAAGAGAGAAGAAGGGAGACAAGCACCAAAACCCCCAGCCATTTTTGACATTCTAAGTCTTAGTTGGAAAGCTACAGAAATTAGCTCTTTCAGTATGAGCTGGGTTTTTTTTGTCATTTTTCAGCATCTTTATGGTCGTCCGTAGCTGTTTGTACAGATTTTGCCTCAAGCACTCAGGGACGCTATTTTGCTCAGCGTCGACATAGCCATGGCGCTCAGATCCGTTTTGTTCGCTTGCCTCATCCTTGCGAGCGTTGAAGCTTCTTTCAACATGAACAAACTCCCAGATGGCTGCCGGGGCTGGGGCTGGGCATGTCACAACTGGACCTGCGACGAAAGCAATCCAACATATGACTGCAACGATGCTTTCCACAAACTTCATTTTGAGTGCCTCCAGGGCAAGTGGACGTGCCTAACAAATACTAGTGCAACGTGTTGCTTAGACGTTGCATGACGTTGCCGTGTGAGACCACGTGTGGAGCTTGGTAGCGGGCCTTGAGAAGGATTGCTTCGCTCACGGAGCGACGTGAAAAACAGTGCTCTTAGCCGATGCTCTTTTGATTAGACCGAGCACGCGTGGAGCTTGGTAGCGGGCCTTGAGAAGGATTGCTTCGCTCACGGAGCGACGTGAAAAACAGTGCTCTTAGCCGATGCTTTTTTGATTGAAAAGGTCTGCAGGTAGCAAGGGTTGAGGGCGTCAAGTAGGAATATGGCATTGCTTCAACATTCGGAAGAATCTGCAAAGACAAAAACCGCTGTGTTTTGGATTAAGCTGAGCTTACTATAAATGGATATGAGAGAAATGAAATGAAAAAAGAGAGGAAAATGGTCAAAATATTTTTTTGCCCCCCCGGGCTCTTGCTGGTCGAAGAGCACAGCATTCATAAGAAATCATAAGAGTACGATGCTACAGGGGACATTTTTCCTGACCTTCAGATGCCTTTAGATATCTAGAGCACCAAACAAAATGTGCCATGTGCCACATTTACAACTGGCGCTCATTTTGAAGAAATGATCAAAAAACAGGCATACAGACCTTCAAAACTCACAACTCCTAGGGAGCGCTGTCCTAACTAGGGCGTTTTGCGCCATGCTGCTGCACCTTAGCCAGCTGCAGGTACCAAATTTGAGGAGTTGACTGATGGGCGAAATGTTCGTGTGTGGTGTTGCATGGTGTGACCATGACTAACAGCTTGCAGCATTTGCATGTTGCAGAGCCTCAGGACTGCGCCGGCAAGTTCTTCCGTGCCTGCGCGCAGAAGTCTTGCCCTTCAAAGAAGTTTTTTTGGTGCAAGTTGATTTACAATCCAGATGTTGAGCAGTTCTCACAGCTGCGTTTACAGCTCGTCAAACATCGAGGCCAAAGATTTTATGCAAGCCACATAATCAATGCGAGCCGTGCAAGTGGCAGTGCTAGAATCCAGGCTCCGAACTCTACAAAGAGAGGTCAGAGGCAAACTGCCAGACCCTGACCTGTGTACAATTCTTTGCCATGCTCGGAAACAGGCACTGGGATGCACAGTTTTTCTTGGAGCTGCATGTCTGCGGCGGGTCTGGCCCTAAGCACGAAGGCAAAGCTGCAGAGGATTCACTCATGCATACTTTGCTGTGCTCTTCTGAGCGCACCACATGCTTTGCTTTTTCTATTTTTGATTTTCTTGTCTTAGTCTGCCGTTCCTTTTTCACCCAGCTTCAGTGGTTTGTCCAGAGGACAACTTGCCTGGCCAGCATGGCCAGCATGTTCCAAAAGTAGCAGCTATAGTGTTTTGCAGGTAGCTCAGAAGGCCATACCGACTGAGTACTATGGTGACTGGGCTGAATCGGACACAATAGCTAGATAAACGGAGCAACATTGAGTCGTATCGCCGAAGCCTAGCAGCCTAGCAGCCTAGCACTCTTTTTGAAGCGAACTTGACTATTGAATTGACAGCTTTTGGAGTCAAGCAAAGCTCACACGCAGAAAGGGTTGCACCAGCATTGTGCCATTTACTCTGGCTTTGGGGATGCCTGTTCCTTGTGTATGGGTTGTGGCTTTTTAGAGGACAGGAAAGTGTAAGAACGTTTACTGTAAAGTATTGAACTACTCAGCTTCCAAGCAAACAGTAGACTAGAAAACCAGTGTTTCTGGGATGCTGACAAGATAGAATTTTGCTGGGTAGCTATCAAACCTAGAAGGCTCAGTCATTTTTAGATCTTTTTGGAATTTGATTCGCAAGGTCAGAGATTTCAAAGGTGACCACCAGTCTGAGCAGTCTTTTGTCCGCTCCAAAGGACTTCTCGGGCTGCCGCTCTTCACGCGTGGAAACTAAATCAAGCAGAAGGGTGGAGTACGGTGGAGTATGGTGGAGTTAGAGATCTGGTCCGCAGATCGTTTTTTTGTTCCATGCTGCACCTTGATAGTTCTCTCACGCCAACCATATCCTACCATCATTTTACTTGAGGTCAGACCCCAAGGAGATCAAAGCTGCACATCGGAGAATGGTAAAACTGGTCGGGGACCTGAGGTTTTCAGATGGTTGAACCGGTTGGGGTGCAACAGTACTGTACTGCAACATGGTGCAACTATATCCTGAGTATCCTGAGAGTCATCGAGATCCCAGCAGTTGGTGGCGCTGCCGCTCACCATGTCTAAGCACCTGCTACTAACTTATCGCAGAGCTTAGCACTGGCAATGCTGTAAAGGCTAGGTATCTTCGGTGAGGCCATTCCAGTTGTTCCTGTGGTTAGCTATGACTAGCACGCCATGAAGCAGGCTGTTTGTCTCGGTTGTGGGTGCATGTCACGCCAGGAAACATAGGATGCAAGTAGTGTCTGAATTTCGATCCGTCCAAACCATCCTAAACACATCGGTTCTGCATGTTAGCCAGCTACTTGAAACACGTTGAGAAATACCAGCTTTTACAGCCTTGACACGATCCAATTACTTAAAGACGGGAGATCTGAAAACATCACGCTCAATGCCAGTACTTACCAAATCTGGAGGTGAGAAGGTGGCACCATAGTGTACATAATGTACATATGACATATACCTGTTCATTTGTTCCGGATGCGAGGTGACATTCATTGTTTGTTCCGTAGATAGTGTTGACCTGAAGATAGCAAGTGCACACGACGTGCTTTGGACCATCTTTTGCGTTCGCCGAAATGAGTCCTTGTGGAAACAGTTGCTCCTTGATACCAAGTGCCTAAGGACACCGTGGTTTTGGGAAAGGAAGACTTATACCAAGCGTACCAAGCCGAGTGAAACGGCGATGTGACTTGCCAAGGTTCACCCTGACATTTTGGGGGCTGATTCTTCAGACCTTCAGAGCATTGTAACAGAGGCTCGATGTGGATGCTGAAGTACTTGGTGCTGTGGATGAATTGTTTCCTATGACCGCATGCCTTTTTTCCAGGCCTACACCATGCTGAGCGATCAAGAGAAAAAAGAAGAATACGTAGAGATCTGAGTATAGTTTTGCCATTGGCAAGAGACTGATCACCAAGACTAGTGTGCAATTTCCAAGATCATTTTGCTCAAGTCCATGCTTTGGTGAGGATGAGAAACTTCGCAAAGCCAAACCAAGCTTGTCGAAGAGCAATTGGTCTGAGGACCAGCTTTGTAGCTGGCAGAAGTTGTTTCTGCATTTTTGATTGAGTGGTTTGTGTTGTTTCTTTTCGAATCCTGCAGAGATTGCATACTATCGTTTCTAGTTGTTTCGTCGGCCAGGACGCACCCCAGTTTGCCATGGGAGTTTTTGTTGATGCGCCTGAGCTGCAACTGCAGTCTCAGGCAGAGCTGGAAAGATGTTTTATTCTGACCCAAAGATTTCAAACTTTCTCAGCCAAGGAGACCAAATGCGAGCAGTGCTACAGGCCAGGGGCACAACGCCAGAGTATTTTTTTGTGCGGGCCAGCCGTGAATGACAGACTTCAACAGAAGCAATGTCGATCCTGGTTCTTAGGTGTGTGAACATTGCATCCTCTACATTTGAGATCCATGACAATCCAGTTAGAGAAGGCCTTCGACATGACAAGACATGCTGCGTTGAACACAAGCTTCGTTGGGTTGGAGCAGAACGATAGAATATGATAGAATGAATTGACCAGAAGTAGAAAACGAGAAGGAAAGTGGCAACCTACAGGGCTGTTTTAGTGACCAGGGTGCCCGGTCGTCTTCGCAGAGGCAAGGCTTTCGTGACCTTGCAGTACGGTGACGACCGTTACGTGGTGCGAGAGGCCGTGTTCTATCGTGTTCTGTCATGTTCTCATAATGGAGTTGGCCCTGGACTCGATTTGACTCCGTTTGACCCTGCTTTGAGTCGAGGCGATTGGTGAATGCCCATCAAAAGCCATTCGCTTCTTGACTGCAACAAGTGTCTCTAGTGCTACTTTACCGCCCTTCCGTTTCTTATCTACCCCCTTTGTAATCTGTACTTGACATTTGTGGTTGTCAGGCATGGGCATGTCACATAACATATAACCCGCAGGTCGACCTTTAGACCCAAAAGGTGAAAAGTGCTGCCAATTGGAATTTGGTAGCGGAGCCCCACGCGGTTTCCGACTGTTTTCTTTTCGATTTGCCCACGCCATAGCATTGCACTACGATTCGCTGACCTTGCTGAACTACGACATCAAGCACTACGAGCTGCGCTGGCTGTTTGGTGGCTGCTGGCGCTTTTGAACTACCTGGTGGTGATCGGGCTTGGCACTCCCTGGACTACCTGGTGGCGATCGGGCTCTGCACTCCTTGTCTACCTGGACACGGCCGGGCTTAGCACTTTCTGGACTACCTGAACGTGATCGGGCTTGGCATTTTCCTGAACTACTTGGAGGAGCTCGGGCCTGCACTACACCCTGGACACCTACATCCTTTGGGGCTGCCTTCTTGCTGGACATCTACAACCTGCTGAACTACCTCTACAAGCTACTGCCGCTGTTGCTCTACGACCAGAAGGATGACGACCTCTTCAGGCTCTTCTGGCATACCCTTGGACGAGTACCGCAAGGACGTACCACCAGGGTGGCAACCAGGGGACTCGAAGTATCCCCTGAAGCAGTTTCTTGAGAGGGTGAAGATGTGGTACCGGTTGTATGATGGACCGGACGAGGCAGTGGGGCCATTGCTGGCTGGAAGGTTGAGAGGAAGGGCACAGCAGTTGGCTATGAACCTTCGACTCCCTGACCCACATGGCCACGTGGATGTAGGCGACGCTGCACTTGTTCGCCTCAGTGTGGATGAAGTCACTGACCCGGTGACAGGTGCCATCATCCAACAGGCGATACCCAGTGGAGTACAAGCCCTACTACATGCCCTGAGGAGCGCCTTCGGAGAAGCAGAACAAGTTCAGGCAACCAAAGCCCTTGAAGTTTTCTTCGAATTCCGTCGTGGCCGACTCCCAATTCCTGAATGGAGTGTGCAATGGGAATTGAACCTGGAGGAGGCCGTACTACATGCTGGTTTGGAAGTGAATCCAGTGGCGAAGACCTACCTCTACTTCAAATCCTCTGGACTGCCTCAAAAGACGGTGGACGACTTGCTGCTGCAGGTGCACGGCGACATGCGCCGCTTCGAAGAAGTGCGCACTCTACTTCTTCGTATGGCACACCGCAGCATGGACTCCAACCAGAGCGCGATGTATGAGGAGGTCAACAATGCCTACTACCTGGACGACCTGGACACCAACAGCTGGAGCACTGTGACGGAAAGCTCATGGCATGATGACTGGAATGCATACTACAACCAGGACGAGCTCTACTCTTGGTACGAGGACCCCAACGAGCACTACGAGTACTATGAGGAGGCATGGCCTGAACAGTGGAACTACGATGCCGGCTACGATGAGGAGCCCGCTGAACAAGCTGAAGAAGAACCTTCCGATGCAGCCCACAACAACACCAATGACGAGACCTACTACAAGGGAAAAGGAAAGTCCCGATCCACAACGATGGGACTGGGCTGTTCACTATGTGGTTCAAAATGGCACAACACTCACAGCTGCCCTCTGAGCGAGCCGAAGGGCAAAGGTTCCAACAAAGGCTACAACAGGACCAAGGGCAAGGGCTACAACAAAGGCTTCGGAAAGTCTCCATACCGCAAAGGCTTTGGGAAGTCAAAAGGATACGGCAAGAAGGGCAAGTATCCCATGAAGAAGGGCTTCGGCAAGAAAGGAGGATTTTGGAGTGAAGGGTAACTGCTGGCTTGCCAGTAAGTGATTATGGTGAAAGCGATTGAAACCTAGGTTTCCCTTGGCAATGTTGTTGAGGCCATCATGTTTGGGTCTCTTGCGTAAACTCCGTACGCGTGTTGGTTGTTGGGTTATGCCGCCTCTATGCAATCTCAACACCTATGCTTCAAACCAACAATGAACAAAACCTGTTCTGAATGCGATGCCAACGCGCTATGTCTATGCTGAATTTATGAATATGTTAATGGTTATATGATAACATGCACTTTTATACAATACTATATGCAAATAGTTTGTATATTTGTGCTACTCTTTTATTTGCATGCAGTGATGTCATTCACGGAAATGTGTGTCTCATGTGGCATTTTACATTTCAGAGGAGGGTGGGTGGGAATTGCTCATTCCCGATTTTGTGATGAGATTTTAGATGCACCGCCGTGGGTCACCTATCCATCGTGGAAAGACAGCTAATTCTGGCTGCATCGTGCTGGGCACTCAGGCTGGCATTCATTCCAACATCAATTTTTGCACCAAGTTCCTCTTTTTCACCTCTGGATTTTTGACTGCTTGTGGGGCGATCCTTTTACTGTTGTGGCCGCATTTTGATGAGTGATTCAGAAGGGTCCTCAGATACGACTCACGAGTCGATTCTGCACAACCTCGTGCAACATCATTTGAACCTGCACCGCGAAGTTGCCGCGCTGCGGCGTGACGTTCAGGCCCTTCAGGCCCAACTACAGGCCATTCAAGCCTCACTGCAGTTGCTTTTGACTGGAGGATTGACCTTTTCAGGTGACCATGGCCATGTCGAAACATCCCAGGCTGAAGCAGACCGAGGAACTACCGGGCAATGAGCACATTGTTTTCCATACACGACATGCATGGAACATGTTGCACTCCACATCTATGAAGCAACCTTGGGAGATAGCCTTACCTGCAGTTCACAAGGACGTCTTGGAGCCATTCAGGAAGAGATTCAAGGTGAGCGGAAGCCTTGGTATATGCAACGGCCCTGCTAGAGAACATGAGTGTGACAACCTTGCAGTGAAATACAACAGTTTTGCAGATGCAGGTTTGAAGCTCAAGAAGAAAACTGATGAACACATTTGGGAACAACAAATTTCATTTGAACGCAAGGCTGCATACAAGAAGTGGACTACATTGATTTTGGAACATCCAGGTGCATGGGCCGTATCGCGACCGAAGCCCGGACAGGATCTCATGAGTTTCCTCAGCAGTGGCATTGGGGACTCCATCAAGGACTGCTTGGGAGTGAAGGCGACTGGAACACTCCACAACAGGGTGAACCCCATGATACGTTTTGCTCAGTATGCCAAAGATGCTGGACATGAGCCCTTTCCCATTTGCGAGCATGTCGCATACCAATTTTTGAAGAATGTTGATTCAGCACCTTCTTTCCCGCGGTCTTTCATCACATCGGTGGCATTCTCGAAGCATGTGCTGGGACTGATGAATGCAGATGACATTTTGCAGTCGCCTCGAATCAAAGGCTTTGCGTCCCTGCACTACACCAAGAAGAGGAAGCTCGTCCAGAGACCGCCGCTGTCTGTGGCACAGATCTCATGTCTGGAACAATGCGTGAACGAAACGGGACGAACAGTTTACGACCGTGTGGCGGCTGGATTCTTTTTGGTTTTAACCTACGGACGTTTGAGATTTTCTGATGCCATGTCCATCTCATCAATGGAGTTGGAAATTCCTATGGGCTCCGAACATGGCTATTTGGAGTGCGCAGCTGAGAGATGCAAGACAGGCACTTCACTGGAAAAACGAACACGTTCGTTGCCTGTCGTCATCACTACAAGGAGCTTCACTGAACAAGGCTGGATTCAGGCCTGGCTCGAGGTGAGGCACAAGGCCAAATTGGAGACTGGGCCGGGCATTCCACTTTTGCCCAACCCTGCATCAGGAGGGGGCTGGACCAAAATTCCAGTCACATGTGAAGTTGCCGGAGATTGGCTGCGAGCTCTCCTCAAAGACGTTCCAGGGCCCACCAATGGGGCGCGTATTGCAACGCATTCATGCAAATCATCAATTCTTTCGATGTGTGCAAAATACGGGGTTGAACCAGCGGCACGACGATTGCTGGGCTACCACACTGCTGGCCGAGACAAATCAATGATCATTTACAGCAGAGACGCCATGGCATGGCCGATCAGACTCATGGAAGAGATGATTGACAGCATCAATGCAAAGCGCTTTGCTCCAGATGCTTCGAGATCTGGCTACTTTCCCCAAGGAGTTGATGTGCCAGAGGACTCCAAAGACGTTGAGTCGACCTCATCCTCTGGTGACAGCCGAGACGAGGAGGAAGCTGACCACAGTGGTGAGGAAGCTGCTGTGGAGAAATTCACAGGGGCTTGGGGCGACACCGGAGTGCCCGACAACACAGAATACTTCAGGCACAAGACATCGAGGTGTTTGCACTTCACTGCAGATGAAACTGGTCAGCTGTTTCGTTGTGGACGGATGGTGACGCTGCAGTACACCAAATGTGAAGGTGTTCCGACTTTTATGCACCCTTCGTGCGCAGGATGCTTTCAACATTGAGCTATAAAATCATGCGGAGGGATGGGGTGCATAATTGAATAAACAACAGCGTGAATTATTTTGGTCAATATGTGTTTGGCATCATAATGCATAATGGATTCAATTTCACCAAACCTGACGCATGCTGAGGTGACAGCACACCATGCCAATCAAATGTTTGTCAATGCAAATGCAATGTCAGTCAATGCAAGGGTGACATCAGTGCGCATGAGCACAAGCCATCTCAACATGCCACCAATGACGGGTTTGATATGGAAACACATGCCATCATGTTGCTCCTATGCAGGGGAACACGCTTGAGTGAACATGCCACTCTTTTAGGACTCATGCGAGTGAATGCTGATGGCAAGTATCGAAAGAGTATGCACTCCTGAGTTTTTATGCTCAAGGCATATGAGTTTTGGTGATAGCTCGGCCGTTTTTGAGCAACGCTCAAAGGCGATAGTGCTCGAGGCTGGAGCTGTCCAATGTTTCAAGATGCAAATCTTGATACAATGACGAAGATTGCACTCGCATGCGATTCCTCTCTTGGTGGCAGTGACGATGCACCTCTGAAGGAGTTGCTTACCAAGGTTTTGGGACGTGCCGAAACACATGTAGAGGAATCATGTTTGCCGAGGCCTTTCAACGAGTCGTATGCTACGGTAGCAGCTGACATTCGAGTTCAAACTGCACAGTCAAACGAGGATTTACTTCGTAAGCTTACACCAGCTGACCGTGCAGCTAGGTTGGAAGAACTACAGAAAAGGCTGACTGGCACAGATATCAGGGGACCTCATGAACCTGGGGACACAGTAGTGGACAAATTTGGGAGTTTGTGTGAAAGTGACAGGCTCCGGCGGATCAGATGGGACCAATGCATCAGCAGGGGACATGAGCTCACATCCAACAAAAAGAAGGACCAGAGGCTGGCTGTCCAATCCTCAGGAGAGCTGAAAATTTCCAGTGCGAGCCGAGTTGGACCATGTGACACATCATCAGAGATCTTGCTGCGGTATTGTTTTATCAGAAGGGCATTGGCCATGGAACAGGCATACATCTTGGCATACCACCACCATGACAGATGGCTTGGAAAAATCATGTCTTGCAGGCTGGAAACGGCACCACCAGGTTTCTCCGGAACCACCTTTAAACAGATCGAGGCAGTGGACAAAAGTTGTTCATCTTATTGGCTGAGAGGACACGCAGTGGCATTAAGGCGGGTCATAATGGGAGGCTGTGCGATCAACACATTGAGGCATGCATGCACAGCACGAAGTTTGTCCTTGTTGCAGCCGAATCCCATTGCAGTGAGACCGGTTCATGTGCCATACTTCAGAATTGTTGAATTTGGGCTGCAGCAAAGCCACACCTCAGGGCAGTAGGCTGTGCATTTCTTTCAACTTGAAGAAGTGCTCGAACAGTGTTCAGAACCAACGTCGTGAGAAGGGCCAATGTAGGTGCCTTAAACAGCACGCAGCATTGCATTGCCCGATGCGCCGCAAAGACTGAATTGAGCAAGAACGGGCGACGGCAAACGAGGCCGGAAGTTTTGAGGACACCATTTTGGAGTCCGACAGCAATTCACTGAATGTGGAACGTGCAGACCATTTGTCCAATTTCAGCATGGCAACGAAGATTGCCGCCACTAGGGTTGCGACAGTGCGCACCATGGAGGGGATGAATTTCAGGGTCTTGTTGAAGGATGGAAACAAGAACAGAATCCACTTGTCCTTGAACTATGCTCAGGCTGCGGAATTTTGTCAGCCACTATTAATGCCTTGGTTTTTGATGTGATGCCAGTGGACCGCAAGCACAACAGCACCGGGTCCACATCAAGACATTCAACTTGGATCTCACTGAACACCATAGCTGGGATATTCTGAAATATATTGTTAACCAATGCAATGTGATTGGGGCGCATTTGGCACCCCCTGTGGAACGTGTTCGAGAGCAAGGGAGACACTGCCTGAAACTTGGCACAGACAACCGAGCATGAGCGCAAAAGACAGAACACGGGTCGAACAGGCCAATTGCTTGTACATGCACATGTGTGACTTTTGCAATTTTCTGAATGACGGAGGAATCACGTGGACCATGGAAAATCCTACAAACGGTAGGCTTTGGGGCTGCCTTTCATCGAATGTTTGATGGGCCATATGCTTTTCACCACATTTCACTCATGCTCCTCGGGAGGCAATCGACTCAAGTCCACGAGCTTCCTCACCAACAACCCTGAGCTTGTAGGGGACGGACAGCATGAGCATTTACCATGGGGCATCGATATGGAGACGCAACAGTTTCAACAGCTTTGGAGGCTGAATATCCCAAACTGTGGGCGAAGATTGTGCCACAATTTGCTTGACCTAGTTATTTCCATGCTCCTCAACGACAAGCCCAATCTGGACTCAAAGAACAAGCTATGTACTCAGCAAACTCCTGCGGACTGAAGCAAA